GATAATTTGTTTATTGTGAATAACTTTTTCGCTTATATTATGCACTTTTCACTTACTAACACTTCACTATAACGTTTTTGTATATACATTTTTTTAAAATATTTATTGCAAATAAAGCTTTATTTCAATTATTTTGTTTTAGTTAAATTCACTGCATTTGCACTGCAAGAATAGGGTTGCATACTAGCAAATAAATAGTGTTGCCATATCTGCCTAGTTGTCAACAAAAGAACATAAGCAAAAACTTTATACCCCAAATACATAAAAGGAAAACGCCAAAAACCTTTAGCAATTTTTTATAAAAAAAAAGGTTGCAGAAAGGAGTTCTACGCGAAAGAACTTTGAACACCCCGGTGTTGGATCGACCAGGGCTATTTTTTTTGAAGCGCGACCGAAGGCCACCAGTGCAGAAGGGAGTTCTACGCGAAAGAACTCTGAACAGCCTGGTTTTGGATCAGCCAGGGGTATTTTTTTTGAAGCGGGGTATAATGCTTTTGCTTATTTCCTTTTGTTGACAACTAGGCAGATATGGCAATACTATTTATTTGCTAGTATGCAACCCTATTCTTGATGTGCAAATGCAGTGAATTTAACTAAAACAAAATAATTGAAATAAAGCTTTATTTGCAATAAATATTAAAAAAATTTATATACAAAAACGTTATAGTGAAGTGTTAGTAAGTGAAAAGTGCATAATATAAGTGAAAAAGTTATTCACATTAAACAAATTATCAATTTAAAAGTTGTAAATTTTTTAACTTTAAACGCAAATATCTTTAAAACTATAAGTCAGCGGCAACTATATATATATATTTTCGTGATCTGGAGAATGTCACCTTTCCAATGACACCCATTTTATCCTCGAAATTCGGGGATGCTATTCTAAATTTTACCCTTTTCAACTTTAAACGCGAATATCTCGAAAACTACAAGCTCCTGTGGCTATAATTATATACATATATTCTTAATCTGGAGAATCACCTCTATCCGACCATATTATTCCCGAAATCCTGGGACGGTATACTAAAGCCGACCCCGAAAACACAGCTACTGTAATTTCTTTTTAATGCAAACGTAATTAATATTTGATCTGGTAACACTACGTGTGATGTCAAATTTTTTGTTTTCTTTTTCAAGTGCATCAATTGGATTGAATATAACTGAGACATTGTTTATAAGAATACGAAATTGCCATCAAAGTGAGTAAATTTCATACTTATAACAATTATTTATTTTAGTTCTATCTTGTTTGCTTCTAAAAATATAAAATATAAATGGTAATAATAATTCAAAATGCTAAATCGTTAGATGAAAAATCCGTCAAGTTGATAAAAATACAAATTTGATTGCAAAAACAATGCACTTACTACATTGCAGGAGATATTATTATTATAGTATCTTTCGTTATCTCTTGATAATTCCGCTAATGTTATAAAATTAATTTGTAAAATATAAACAATGTGGGCAATACTATATAAAAGAGTTGTGCAATAAGCATATTTGAATATGCTAACAAAACAACTATCAATTAGCTTCCAAAAATGAGTGTTTTATCCTTGTTGTATTTTATTTAAAACAAAATAATTTAATTTTTGATTATAAGAAGTTATGTTAGTTAATGTGGTAAACTGAATTTCCTTACTTGACTTCTGCTTTTAGGCAGAAGTTCCGTTATATCATGCCTGTCCGTACTAATTATCATTAGGCCGTACTTGTACATATTTGGCCTAAGTATATCTCGGCAGTATTCTTTAAAACCATTTGGAAAATGTTTTATAACTGTGCAACAAATTTTTTCGTATCTACACTTTTCATAAGTGAATAGACGTCAATGAGTGAAGACATACTATACTATACTATACTATACTATATATACGACATACTCTAAATATGTTCATACTGTATAATATAATATAGAACTACTATTAATTATTATATTTATATTATTATAATTATTTTTATTATAAATGTGTGYATAAGTTTGTTTCATTGTATCATATGCATACATAAAGATATTAAAAAGGACCCTACTTGATATCAAAAAAAAATATACATATATATACATATATCTTACGGGTTGAAAAAAACAATCACTTTTGGCTGATTATATTATTTGTAAACAATTTTGAAAAAAGAAAAAAAAAATACATTTTTCAAGACATGCCACGTAAGCATACATAAATCAAATTCGTTCAGGAGATTATCGGGAAGATATTCGAAATCAAGAATGTTCAGTTCACGGAGAGCTGAGAAGACAAAAGCAAATGGAACAATACAATTTATTGAAAACAGCAGAAATAAGTAAGCGGAAGCAAGTTCATGTAGAAAACAAAGCTGAGCAACTGACAGCTAGAAGTGCGATAGAAACGTAAGAACATTGGCGAGAAGCATTATTTTTGCATATATGTTGGCGAGACAGGATTGGTATCTCTTTAACGATACTGAATTACAGTATCAATTGGTCAATTGATTATTTTATTAATTATTTAATTATTTTATTAATTAAACTGCCAGTTTTTTCACAAACATTTGATGAGTATATGTATTGGAAATGTTGTACTTTTCCAGAAAATAAATAAGAGCATAAATTTTTGCAGCTCTATTTTATGGGTGCACCGGCCGGAAAACTTACAAAATAGTATACAAAACTATCTGACAATAATATATTATAACGGTGCACATTGGCCGGTCCCACCGCTTGTTGATGTTTATTAAGTAGAATTTAATAACTGGACAGAAAGATTGGTAACCAGACATTGTGAAAACAGCCTTAAATTCATTTTTTTTTTCCAATGAAATTTATCATATTCAAAATTAAACTTTGGTTTCTTATATCGACAAAAACAAAAGCCGCTAATTTTTTATTTCAAATAAGCCATCGGCGGCTGCAATCGTCGAGGAAACGCGAGCCCATTTCTTCGAGTCGGTTGTGTTTGAAAACGCTGTAACTCATGTTCTACTCAATATTTTTAGTTTCAAAATTATATTTACACTATAGAAATATATGTTAATAAATAATAATAAACTTAAAGCTCCATCTGTTTACTGGTCTTAGAAAAAATAACTACGTAACAGGCCGTCACGTGCGATAGCCCCAAACGTATAGTAAGAGTTCACAGTTGTAGGTTACCACGGCATGCTTAATTCTACTTTAAATGGTTTGTTCATATTTTTTCTTCATGGCATATTATTTCATCACCCTACGTTGCAAATTTACATACATACTATATATTTCATCATAAGTATTTATGTATGTGTGCTTACCTTAATAAGCGTATTTCTGCAACTTGAACTTTGTTGCATCATTATTTAGCATACAATGATATATAAACTATGCACTGAATGCCGGCATTTCATGTTTGCAATCAACCGCACAATGAGTACTACCTTTACGTCAGTTGATAGCAATTTGTTGTTGAATTTCGATTTTGGGTGAGATTTTGCAGTTATATAGGGATATTGTATATTTAAAAAATTTAAAACTTATATGTATATTACGAACAAATATTTACATAGCATATTCATATTATTTCCGGTCTTTTATATTTTTATTAACAGATAAACCTTATAAAAAGTTTGTAACAAGGCAATGCAGTTGGATGAGTTCAATGTCTACAGTTTTTCTAGGAAAAAATAAAAGTCGAATATAACTTCGAAATAATTTAGGCAACTATGAGTGGAAGCAGTCCTCTAACACAAGAAGATGACAGCAGTACTGTTATTAATGAGTTCCAGCGTCTGCATAGTCCTAAAATTGATTATTCTAGTATTTGTGGGAAGAAAGTCTTGGTAAGTCCAACAGAAGTACAGTTCGAACTGCTAAAAAAGAGGCTAGAAGAGCGCACAGAAGACTGTCGTGGTGAAACAATATATGAAATCGGTATAGGGGAAGGTAAAATTGAACATTTATGATTTAAGTCGAGTTGTCGAATCATAATATCTTTACGGTTACGCAGATGGCAGCGACAATGGCTTGGATGAGGACGAGTATCGCGCTTCGGTCGCTACATTGCAATCGTTAGCCACAACAATCGATTCTGATGTAGTTTTACTGAGGCAGAGAAAAGTTGAAAAGGGATTAGCAGGCCAGTATTTGATAAGGAAACGTGTCGATACTTCAGATTTCATGGAAATTCGGTAGTAAAACCAATATATAAATTTATATATATGTACATAAGCGTGCCCGTTATTTCCCAAGATATTATTTTTTTGCTGAAGCTCTTTGAATCTTTGGTTTATTTCTTTTGGTTGGTTTATTTTGAAGGTAAAAACAATAATGCGAAAGAGAAAAGATGTTAAAATAAAATAGGCACGATTTAAAACAAAAATAAAGAGCTTGTTTACGTTGGATAACTTTTTTAAGGCGAAATTCAAAACTTTAAGGGGCTTAATAAGTAAAAAAACAAAAGCAACCTGGGAGGGGAATGACAGATACTATAGTACATGAATGGATCTTATCCTATTTGGAATGAATTTGTATTTAATCAACTATTATCAACTTTTGTTTAGTGTTGCTGTGGTTGGAAATGTGGATGCAGGAAAATCTACTTTGCTCGGAGTTCTAACGCATGGTGAATTAGATAATGGGCGTGGGCATGCTCGCCAGCGATTATTTCGGCACAAACACGAAATGGAAACTGGACGTACTAGTTCTGTGGGGAATGATATATTAGGTATGCTAACTATTAACATCATCAAATTATGTCTATGCGATCTGCTTACCCTCCTTACAAAAAATGAATTACTATATTTTATTCCTTAGGGTTCGATAGTGTTGGGAATGTAGTTAACAAGCCTGATCATGGCACTCTTGACTGGGTTAAGATTTGTGAAAAATCCGCCAAAGTTATTACTTTTATTGATTTGGCGGGGCATGAACGCTATTTGAAAACAACAGTATTTGGTATGACAGGACATGCCCCGGATTTTGGAATGCTAATGGTAATTCATCTAATAGTAATATATTGAGCTTTCAGTTTTAATTTATTTTTTTAGATTGGCGCCAATGCTGGAATTGTTGGTATGACAAAAGAGCATTTGGGATTGGCATTAGCATTGTCGGTACCAGTATTTGTGGTCGTTACAAAAATTGATATGTGCCCTCCTAATGTTTTACAAGATAACTTAAAATTGCTTTTTAAAATATTAAAGTCCCAGGGTTGTCGTAAAGTACCAGTAATGGTAAAAAGTTCAGATGATGTTGTGTTAAGTGCCACAAACTTTGTTTCTCAGCGTTTGTGTCCAATTTTTCAAGTTTCCAATGTTACTGGAGAAAATTTGGAGTTACTAAAAATGTTTTTAAATTTGTTAACAACCCGAATGACCGGGCAAGACAACTTGCCCGCTGAGTTTCAAATTGATGACACCTATTCAGTGCCTGGTGTTGGCACAGTGGTTTCTGGAACTTGCCTTCAAGGTCTAATAAAACTGAATGATACCCTTATGCTTGGGCCAGACGCATTGGGTAATTTTATACCGATTGCTGTAAAAAGCATCCATCGCAAACGAATGAATGTTAAAGAAGTGCGTGGGGGTCAAACTGCTAGTTTTGCATTAAAGAAGATAAAAAGATCTCAGATACGTAAAGGAATGGTAATGAAAATGATCTAATAATGTTTGTGTTATGTTGCTAACCTAAATCTTTCAGGTAATGGTTAGTCCAGAATTAAAGCCTCAAGCATGTTGGGAGTTCGAAGGGGAAATTCTAGTTCTTCATCATCCTACAACTATATCTTCCCGTTATCAAGCCATGGTACACTGCGGAAGTATTCGACAAACAGCATCCATCATCAATATGTCTAAGGATTGTCTACGTACTGGCGACAAAGCTCATGTAATGTTTCGTTTCATTAAACATCCAGAGTACATTCGAGTTGGGCAAAGAATGGTTTTTCGAGAAGGTCGAACTAAAGCAGTGGGAAACGTTTTGAAACCAATAACAAATTCGGTTGCTTTACAACATCGATCTAAACCGAATAAAATGCAAGGGCGCGGCCAAAGTCATAGCCAAACTAATTCAAACGCAGAACCACAAAATCAAAATCAAAACCCCAATGTTCAAGCGGCAATATTAAAAAATGAGATAAAACAAAGTTTTGATGGAGTGCTTGAGACTTGTGTTGATAAACGCGATATCCGTGGTTCAAAGCACCAGAAACGCAATTCTTCCCACGCTGCCATACCAGTAAGTGGGTTAAGTATGGGAAGCTCTTTAAGTGATTTACAGACCCAAGCCAACAGCTCTAACATTGCTGTCAAAAAATAAAATTACCACATCGGCTATTATTTGTATTAATTTATTTTGCTCTTCATTTAAATAAAGTCGATTACATTTTTGTTTTGCTTAAAGGCGATTGGATTTTAAAAATATAAACCGTTTTTTATATAATTGTATGCGTTATTTTAAAATATCTGGAAAAATTACAAGTTATGAAAAGAAAATATATCTTACTACCATATTTTTTCGAATTACTACAAATGGTGTTTTGTAGCGGCAAACAACGTTTCTAAAGTAATTTTGCTGTTAATCCGACAGTTTTTGTCCAATCAATAATCCGTTTTGATAAGTTCCAATCGTGAAATTTTTGTTAAGCTTTGAATTTTGGGTTTTTATTTTAAAATTTCTGAAAGGTAATGTAATGTTAGATCCACAAACACTGCTCTGTACCAATTCACGTCTGGGCTGCAGAATTCGCTGGATAATGGCGAGGTTGCGATCTGTGCCTTCCTAGACATTGAAGGTGCATTTGATAGCGCGTCTCACACTAGCGATCCCATTCACTAAGCGGAGATCTCTTTCGGGCCTGAGGTCCCTAACAATTGAAGGCACAGAGGTGGAAATGTCTAAGGAGGTCAAATTCCTTGGTCTTAGACTCATCATTATTGTGGAGTAGGCATTTTCACTTAACGCTGTCCAAAGCAACAAGAACACTTATGATTTGCATACGCCTGGCCGGCAGATCACGGGGATGCAAGCCAAGTATCATCAGATGGCTGTATACCATGATAGTGAGGCCTATCGTCACCTATGGAACGGTTGCCTGGGCCACCAAAGCAGCGCAGTCTTCGATGATTCGGAGGCTGTCAAAGCTGCAAAGACTTGCATGTGTCTGTGCTTCGGGGGCAATGCGCACATGCCCCACGGTGGCACTGGAAGTCATACTAGAGCTCACACCGCTGCATCAGGTGATCAAGCTAGCAGCAAAACTCACCATGCCGCTAATGTCAGCGGAAGGCTGTGGAAGAGGGAAGGTAATGTCCTCTAGACAGATGGACTCACTAGCGGAAACCACACCGCTAGCCCTCCTCCCAAAGAACAGCACCACGAAAGAAATTAACCTCAAAAAGAACTTTAAAGTTATTCTAGGCAGCAAAACGGAGTGGAATGACTCCACGCTGGTAAGGCTGCTGGAAGACAGTACCATTCAATGGTACACTGATGGCTCTAAAACCCCAGAAGGTATTGGGGCAGGCATTGTGGGACCACGTACCGAGGTGTCCATACCTATGAGCTGCTTCCCAAGTAYCTTCCAGGCAGAAGTTTTTGCCATCTATCAGTGCGCTGAAGTCAACCTCAGCCGCAACCAGAGCATAGCTATTCTTAGCGATAGTCAAGCGGCTCTAAAAGCGATCTTGTCATACGACACCAAATCGCTTTTAGTTGAGGAATGAAGGCTAAACCGCCTATGCTTGTGCAATTGGGACCAGAGCCATACATAGCGGTAGGACCCCACACTCTTAAGGAGCTGCTCCGTACGGAGTAGAGAAAACGGCACTGGCGACAGGCAGCAAGCATGCGCCACGCCAAGCTGCTCCTGGGAGGATACAATCTCTCCAGGTTTAAAGAACTAATCCACCTTCCCCGAGAAAAACTTCGTCTCCTCGTCGCAATCTACACAGTGCACTGTAAGCTCAGGAAACACCTGTCCAACATGGGCATGGTCTCCTGTGCTAACTGCCGGTTCTGCGACCTGGAACAGGAAGCACCAGCACACCAATCCTGGATTGCACAGCAATCTGTGGAAAAAGACTCAAGGCCCTGGATTCTGTCTACATCAGCACGGATCACATCACCTCACTAGCGCCCGGCAAACTCCTGGAACTATTTAGGCTGCTGAGGCTCTGGGAGGTCATGTGATATAGGAGAGGGCACAATAGACCCTAGGTAGCGTTGCATTACCTCAACATCATTATCTATCTATCTAATGTAAAATTTTAAGTAACAAATTGAAATATGCCGTAAAATAAAAGAGAAAATATCAAGGCACTGTGCCATTTTAATGAGGTACTCTGTTACATAGAATTCGAAAACGAATGGCAATGATAGGCATAATTAATACTCGAAACGTTGACTGAGTTCCATCAAGATAAGAGAAGTTGTTGATAATGTCAACGTGAAAGTTAAGTTTATTAGTTTAAGTTGCAAAAATCTCACACTAGGTGTGCTCCTTATCATCGTTCGAGTACAGTTTATGAGTGATTAGCTCAAAAGGGGCAACAATAATGCTAATAAATATATAGCGTTAGTAAAAAGTATTATAGAACTAAACTTTTTACTTTCAACCTCGCATACACATGTGAATAAATATACACTTATGGACAAAATAATAGGTGTGAGATTAGCTGGTACTGTTTTTAGGACAGATGGTATAACTGTTACTTTTTTATGCAGTTGTATTTTTACGACGAATGCAAATGAACAGCGCGTCAGTATCAAAAAACTTGCATTATTATTTTGTTAATTTTTTGTTTGACTGACAAGTTATAATTCCTTAATTCAATTGGGTTGGCCAATTAAATAAATGAATATAAGTAATATTTAAAAAAAATAAGTGATTCTTTCAAAGTACTTGTTATATCAATTTAATTATTGGAGTATTTGTAATTTTATATTGCCTTTGAACACAATTAACTGAAACGAAGAAATTATTCAGAAAGGGTCGTAAAAGCCACTGCACCGATGTGGAGAACAAATACATTGGAAATATGTTAGGGTGGTTTGAAAACTTTCCCACTGATGCTCTAAAGAAAACAAGAAAGTTCAAGAAAAAGTGGTCAGATTGATGGCACAGTTCCGATTTCTTTGGCGATATTCGACCTTAAAGTTCAAAAATTCCCAAAATTCGAACATTTCGAGAAGCTATTTAACCACATTAAATACACTTTATTCACAATTTTCTCTTCAAATTAAACTATAAACTTTTAAATAAATCCACATCACACTTTTAGCAGGTTTTTTACCTAAGAAATTTTTGTTATAAAAATTACATTTACACGCTGTTTACTTCTTTTTTCAAAAAAAAAAAAAAAAAACTTTTTGTGACTTCATGACAACTTGCAGCGGAAGTTGGACTAAATGGTTATTTACCGGGGCGTAAAGCCATGTCCGGCATACACTTAAAATACCAAAGCTCAAAATACCGACAAAATTTAAATATGCAGCTAAATCAAAATACCTACAAATCCGAGCACCGAAAAATCAAAACACAGACAAACCAAATGACAATATGTGAAAAATATTTTATCTTGTCCGCACTTATTTCTATCGAAGCACAGAAATAGAATTCTACTGACTAAGGGTTATAATTCTTAGCGTGTTCGTAGCCTCGAACGAACAAATCCACCTTCTCCTGATTTGTCGGTATTTTGATTCTAAATTTCGAGATTTTGATTGTCGACATATTTTGCAAAACCTTATGCTACAATATTCTAAAGAAAACAAGATGACGACCCGAAATATACATCGCGGTCGGCATATACGTAGTTAAATGATGCAAATAGAGCTGCATGATCCCAACTCGATTGAAAACTTGCGGAATGATCTTAAGAAAACAATAACAGCCTTTTCATTTCAAAAAAGTGTGCAATTGTGCCGGAAAGCAAAGGAACTTTGAGATTATACCCCATTGGAAACCAATCAAAAATTAATTCAATCCATGCTGAATAAAATTGTATAACTTATGAAATCCATGGATGATATACAAGTAATAACACCCATGGATTGAATAGATCTTCTATAATATAGATAACTTGGGATTTTTGTTTTTGTTTAGAAAATATATAATTTTGACCAAAGCTATTTCTTTTTTTTGAAATATATTTCAGTTTTAATATTTGGAATCAATGAATTTCCCACATATAAGGATTTAATAAAGTATAGCAAAGATATACATATGTAGCTACAACAAAATTGTTTCAATTGCAAATATTTCAAAGTTATTAAGTAAAAGTCGCTCACACCTATTGTTTTGCAAATATATATAATTGTTTCTTAAACTGTTTGAATTTCTTTTAATTTGAATTACTTATTATATCTTTGATCAGTTATGTGCTTTCAATACAGGCTTTACTTGGCTATTATCCCACTGCAAAAATAAAATTATGCAATGTTATTTAATATATTTTATTATAAGCAGTATCATTAAAAATTCCATTTTATTTGAACATTTCGTTAAGAATTTTATTTCTGTACCTTTATAGATTTCCTAAAATGGTTTCTTCTTGATTTCGTCCTTCACGCCTTCAATTTCTTTCTTAAGATTGTTTTTGAAAATAGCCATGAATGACCTGTAAATATATAAAATCAAGCCTTTGTCTCGAAAATTATTAAACCTACTTGAAACGTTCTGGGGTCATGTTATGAATTCCACGCTCCTGAGCCATATTCTTAGTACGATACATTATGGATACAACTATTTGAGCAGCACGACGCATTGGATAACTCTCAGCCATCCGTTGAATTAACTGTTCATTATTAGCCAAATAACGTAGCAAGAATCGGAATACCATTGTGGATTACGTGTAAGTAATTTTTTAAAGCTGAATGTCTTTATATTTTCGAATAAGTTGTTGCTTAAGTTTTAATTGGTTTCGTAGAAGTTCTAATCGTTGAAGCTGCTCTTCTTTATTGTAGTCTATACCTGGCAACTGTTTTACTTCAGTTCTTGCAATGTCGAAGCGTTTCTGTAATTCTATTATCTAATAACATAAATGTAAAATGCCGCATTTACAAATTGTTATAATACTCAATTTACTTACTTTTTGACTACACTCTTGGGATTCCCGTTGTTTGGTCGCGTTATCAAGGGGATCCTTTTCAACACTGTTTATTAAAAGAAAAAGGAACATAGGAGTAATTACATAATTCCGACAAATAAAATAAACAGAGAATACGAAAACAACGTTCCTGTACACCTATTACCTATTATGTCAAAATACTTGCCAGCGAATAATTTCGTATATGACAGGTAAAATCGCTCTCAAATTTGTGTTTTGGCCTGTTGCCGGCGATGATGGATTGGGAGCTTGTTCGGCCGCCGTGTTGTTTTCGGAAGGATTTGTTGTTTGTATAAGTCCCTCTGGTGTTAAAATGGTTTTTTTATCAACAGATTGTCCACTAGGAGATAATTCCATTTTTGTATTTATCTTGCTGTAAATAATGCACTGTTTTGTATATAAAACATATTTCAGCAAATTCACATATTTTACAAAGATCAATTTTGTTTACTGTGCTGAGCACGAATGCCGGAATGGAAAATAATTGACGATAATGTTTGGTATACAATGCTCGCGACAGACTGCAAACGACATCTGTCAAATATTAAAATACACACGTTCTTATGGACGGACCTATTTTGATAGCTGCACGACTACACGACGGCAGGCCGACAGTTGTCGTTCTCGCTAACTTCAATTTGATCCTTTATTTGCCAACGACAGTAGAGTTAACAGTAGAATGGAAGATAGAGAGATGAGGTAAAGTGGTGATGCCACTAGTATGTAAAATGTAAAGTTTTTAACCTGTCTCTTATACACATCTAGATGTGTATAAGAGACAGAATACCTTGCACTTCAATGAAATTTTAATATTTTGTTCAAAGTGAAATTTTTAAGCAAAAAATAAGTAAATAGGTAAATTTATTTGTTTTAAATTATCAATTGTTATTACAAATGATGTAACAGAGCTATTTTATGCTTTTATTTGTAAAATAACATCAAGTTTGTTAGAGCTGTGAATAATTTTACATTTTACATACTGTCTCTTATACACATCTAGATGTGTATAAGAGACAGATTCTACCTCATCTCTCTATCTTCCATTCTACTGTCAACTCCACTGTCGTCCTACTGTCGTTGGCAAATATAGGATAAAATTGAAGTTAGCGAGAACGACAACTATCGGCCTGCCGTCGTGTAGCCATGCAGCTGTCAAAATAGGTCCGTCCATAAGAACGTGTGTATTTTAATATTTGACAGATGTCGTTTGCAGTCTGTCGCTAGCATTGTGTTTCGCGCAGGATTCACAACGCCGTTATCAATTCACTGTCGTGCTGCTACAGTCATAAATTGCCAAAATCAAACAGGCAAAGACATTCGTGCTTGCCACTTTAATTACGGGGATAAATTACTAACTGTATTGCCGTACCTATTTCCTGTGGAGACTCCACATTGCTTATTGCTTACAATGTATGGAATGTTGCCTCTTCGAAATTTTCATAGAAATGAAACTATTTAGTATTCCATACATTGTAAGCAATAAGCTGTCACTTCACCAGTTTGACGGCGCAGTTTTCATTTCTATGAACATTTCGAAGAGGCAACATATCCCATTTGCACAAACGGCATTTTCATTTCGGTATTATGAAATTTAGAAGAGCAAGTATTAAGATGGTTGTGTTATGTTATAAAAATAAAGTACATTTTCAAAATAACATTATTCCAAAAAATTAATATTTAGTTTAATAATTAATTTATAGAAAAATTATGCAAATTGGGTTGGGAATGACCGAAGTCTTAAATTTAATAAACTTAAATCCAAATAGCTTTGCTCATTTTAAATTTATTATTTTAATTGGTATATTTATGTCACAATTATTATATAGTAGTCCAAAAATATAAATTCTTATTTTTCCCAGAAATATGTTTGTGAAAAAAGGATCTTTCTTCTTTGTTATTATCTTATTTTTCCCCAGATATACATTTGTAAAAAAATAATCGTAATCCTTTTTTATTTTCCTCATCAAAGCTACATCAGCTACCTACCCGACGGCATTTCGCAATGTGATAAAATAAATTTTTCAARAGCTCAAAGCATGCGCTACATCAGCTCGAACCTACCTACCCTACGCCCTTGCGCAAATTATTATGTTATGATAACAAATGCCCACATACAGATTTGGCAATGGCAATAGCAATAGATTTGACAGTTCGTAAGCCATAGATTTTATCTTGTCGAGATGCCCCGTTTTGATTGCTAACAGTAAAGTCAATAAAGACTGCACATTGCTCATGTTTGGCAATTGATATCACCATCCTTGATATTTTGAGGATTTCCGTATGCTAGGTTGATTTCAAAAGCACAAATGCTTACAATTACTTCACAAATTTGTGATGTTTGAATGAAGGAAGTATTTCATAGGCGTTATCTATAATACTATTACAATAAATATGTAACTTACGGTCTTTGTACATTTTACTTCCTTCCGTATGAGAACAAGAATTTATTTGTAAATATGTATGTATGTATTATTTAATACATGGGCGAATTAAAATATATTTATGTTTAAATAATATGCTGCAAAGTTATTAATAATTTATTGGTTGTCCATTTCTTTATTTTATCCTGTTTGTTTTTGTAAAACAGTTGGTTCACACCAATGTGCTTTTCAATTCATGTGGTGAGTGTTTTGTGCTTTTTTGTTCTGAGTTTTGAGCAAGAATAACCTCATAAAGTTAACCTCACAAACCAGTTCTGAGGTTTTCGTGGAATAGGGCTGCAAGTATTGTGACGAACACGGATGATAGAACAACATTAACTTTGTATAAACCTACAAGTAACAAATGCTTCAATTTTCACTCATACATACGCAGGCGAAAGTTTATAGAATGATAGAAGTTACATTCAGAATGCAATAGAATGAGGAAAGACTCAGGGCAAAAGCCCAAGCAGTTCGTTAGGGTTTCCTAAATATTCTACTACTACAACGGACACATGCCTTAGAAAAGGTACGAGTGTGTTGCCGTGTCATGGTATCCAAKATTTTATTTGAAGCACGTTTTTATTAAATGTTCAAGTGTATTTTGATTATTAAAGTTCATCAAGATTAAATGTAGATAGTTCTGGTTAAAATTTTATATAATGTATCAAAATGATGTAAATGTTTTCTATTTTATTAAAAATATTTGAAGAATATATCAACTTTTTTTTTAATTATTATAAATAGTTTTGTTTAGTACTGTATATATTATATGGGTGAAAATATTCCTCCGAAGGAACCTAATACCTAAAAAATATCGGGAACGCGCCTATATTGCAACCTCTTTATTATTTTCAAGTACTTTTATTTGAATGTACGAAAGTAAACAACTAACTCTCCGACCTTTCTCGTTTCCTCACTGCACGAAACCTCACACTTTCCCCCACCAAATCCACAGCGACCATATTCACGAACTGGAAGAAGGAGTATAGACTTGAGCTTAATATTGCAGTCAATGGCGTCAAAATTCCGACTGTCAATAACCCTAAGATTTTAGGCGTAACTTTCGATAGTCTATGCTCCTTCTCTCCTCATACGACCGCGATTATCGCCAAAGTACAGAAAAAACAGGGAAAAGACAAAGAAACGTTGTTGGCAACTTACAAGGCAATCGGCCGGCCGGTCCTTAACTATGCAGCACCAATATGGTCACTTGGATGCAGTGGAACGCAGATGAGGAAACTTCAGACCTGCCAGAATACTGCACTCTTTTAATGTCTTCCATTGAACACCTCCACATCGAGACGCTTATGCTTCCTGTAAAGGATCATAATGAACTCCTCCCCAAACAGTTTCTGCTAGGATGTTTCCAGTTGCCGCGAGGAACGCGAGTGACCCTAGCGCAATTTCATTCTGGATATTGTAGCAGGTTAAGCTCCTACCTATCCATGATAGATATACTAATCTCCGTTTTTTCCAACCCCCTCGAAATAGCACATTTCTTGTGCCGTTGGGTCACGTCGTCACCGTTATCAAACTGTCATCATTAGCGAATCAGCGAAGAAGCTGATGCATGCACCTTTCGTTGTTTGCCGCCAAATGCTTGCCGCTGTCTCCTAAGCTCATCGTTCCATCGAATGCGAAATTGGCCCATGTTAATGCGGAAAGAACCATAAATCTTCCGCAGAACCTTTATCTCCAGTGTCCATTCCTGTGTACCATATAGCAGGACGAAGATGATGACTGATTTATAGAGTTTAGCTTTTGTTCGTCGAGAGAGAACTTTATTAAACTTCTCAATTGCCTACTCAGTCCAAAGTATCACCAGAAGGCAAGAGTTAATGTGCGTTGGATTTCAACGCAGACGTTGTTGTTGGTATTATTACTGGTTCTAACATAGAATAAATTATCCACGAGTTCGCAGTTATGAGTGTCAACAGTGACGTGGGAGTCAATTCGAGAATTCGACGACTGTTTATTTGATACTTGCTCTCGTTCACTGCCAGACCCATTGTGAAGCAAACCTTAACCACTCTTTAGAAAGCAAAACTAACGACGATGACTACTAATGATATCAATATCATCGGCGTCACAATCTAGTACTACAGGCAACCATATTCCGAGCCACCGTGAAGTCGATCAGTCTCAACTCAATTGAGCACAAGGCTTAATTTTCAAATGTTGTACTAAAGATTGCTTCTTAGACCATCCAGAAGTTAAAATCGCCAAGCACATTATGGCGAGGGAAGTCGTCAGAAACGCACTCCTGTTGCTCATAAAAGGCATCTTTGGTCATACCGTTCTAAAGTTCCGTCGGGGCGTGAGCAGAA